TGTAATCTGGTTTGACCCCAGGTAAGTTTCTTTCTGATCCCTCCATCTTTATACCCTGGGCCACTTCCCTTCCTTCACCGCCACCCCCCACAGGGTAAGCCAGTGGGAGCTCAGTAGGGACAGGCCAGACAAACCACCTGTACTTGGCACCTGCTGCTAGACAAGTCAATAGACAATCATTGCACTTGTTCTCAGAGCTTGTGATCACACACATCTAAAATGTCTACTTAGCACCTACTATGCACCACAAGCAGGTATAGGCATGAGTGGGGTAAGCATGGTCTCTGCCTTCCTGGCACTTATAATCTAGTCGGAAAGTCAGACAGTGAAACCAATTGAGAGAGAGAGACAGGGACAGAGACAGAGGGAGAGAATGAATGAGAATGAATTATAAATGAAGAGTGCCAGAGAATAAAATGGGAGAATGTAAAGTTGGGAGCTTCAAGAGCCAGACTCTTAGAAGAAGGGACGTGTGAGCTGAGCACTGGAGAATGAGTAAGAAATACAACCCCCACCCCCAGGTACCAAAGGGCTCTTGGCCATGCTGAGGAGGAATCTTCAGGTCCCCACCATGGGAGGCACTTCTCACTCCAGCCCACTGTGGAATGTCCCCCAGAGTCCCTGCCACACCTCCCAGGGGCTCCCACCCCTACCCATCACCCCTCCCAGGTAATAATACCCTCCCTCTTTCAGAGCGGCTTTTCTCTTCTAATTGAGGCCCTGCCCCAGTCAGCCCTGCCCTGCATTACCTGCTGGACAAGAAACACACCTGTCCTGATTCTGCGTGGCTCAGAGCCTCTGGAAAATGTGTACCTTCCCCAGAGCAACCCCACCCTTGGCCTTCTGCCCCCTCCTCCCACTCTTCAGCATTCTTGGCAACCTTGGAACAGGTAGGACTTGGTTTGGGGGCAGAGTGGAACCAGTTGGTGGGAGTCTGCAGGGGTAAGGCCCAGGACCCCTTTTCCCACTGTTTCTTCTGCACTGCCATATTCTAAAGCAGAAGAGAAAGGCAAAGACAGGGACAGTCACAGAAGCAGAAGGGCAGGCAGAGAGAAAATGAGAAGCACTGAGAGGTAGGGAGGGAGGAGGCAGTGTGAGAGGAAGAATGTAAAGACGGGCCAAGAGGTGCAATGAAGACAGAGGCAGAGACAGAGGCTTTAGATGAAGACTAAAATGTGGGGAAAACAAAACCAGGGAGACAGAGGAACAGCCAGCCAGCATAAGGAGAAGGTGGGCAGGGGCCTCAGGGAGAAAACTTTCCTGATGGGCCAGCAAGCCACTGTTGGCCACAGGCTGTGGTTACCAGTGAGGAGGTCACAGAAACCTGTGAGGGCAGCAGGGGCACATGGGTGCTGGAGAGTGTCTTCCCCTGAATCCCACAATGATGGGAGGGCACCAGAGAGCAGGAGCAGTGGATGGCCTGGAACTAAGATGGAATTGACCTGTGAGAACTCTGACATGCCACAGTAGTGGTGGGTTTCAGGGAGCATGAAGACACTGGGATTTTTCACTCTGTGACAAATGTCCCAAGAACAGCTGAGGGAAGAGCTGCTTCTACTCACCCCACCCTGCTGGTGTGGATTTTACCCTTCCATTCCACAGACCCATAGGTGGCCCCCAGTGTGCCAGGCCCTGAACTGGGCCCTGGGAATACAGAGACCAGGAAGGTACAGTTACATCCTTGGAGCCCAGGTCAAGAGAGAAAAATCCAGGGGGAGGTTGGGGACAGTGATGAACTACCAGAAGGCCCAGGCCAAGCCCATGGTCACCAAGGGGAGGGGGTGTTATTTCTAGTCTGGAGAAGCAAGAAGCATTCTGGAAGCCCTAGCCTTGTTAAGTATCTTAAAACCTGGTGGAATTGGCCCTGGCTGATGTGGCTCAGTAGATTGAGCACCGGCCTGCAAACCAAAGAGTCATGGGTTCAATTCCCAGTCAGGGCAGGTGCCTGGGTTGTGGTCTGGGTCCCCAGTTAGGGGCACCCAAGAGGCAACCAGGTTGTTGATGTATTTCTCGCACAACAATGTTTCTCTCAGTCTCTTTCTCCCTCTCTTCCCATCACTCTGAAAATAAATAAATAAATAAATATATATATACATACATACCATCGTTTTTTAAAAAACTGGTGGAATTAGAGAGATCAAGAGTGAGCTGGGACTTCCAGCCAAGATGGAGGCATAGGTGGAAATACTCTGCCTCCTCACACAACAAAAATTAAGGACAACAAGGATTTAGAAACAAAAATACAATCCGAACAGACAGAAAATTGAGCTGTACGGAAGTCTGACAACCATTCAACCAAACTGGTAAGAGGGGCAAAGTCAGTGGCCAGCAGAGAGGGGTCTTGGCAGGAAACGGTGGTGGCTGCCAGACCCAGGAGTACAGGTGGTGTGGGCCTGACCATGATCACACATTTGTGCACAGATAAACTAGGCGAAAATGGGCAGCAAGACAGACCACGCAACCCAGGGCTCCAGCACTGGGAAATATATCTTAAAAGCACCAATTGAAAAGGTGCCAGGAGAGACTCTTAGCCTCACAGGAGAATTCACTGGAGAGACCCACAGGGTCCTAGAATGTACACAAGCCCACCCACCCGGGAACTAGCACCAGAAGGGCCCAATTTGCTTGTGGGAAACAGCAGAAGGGACTGAAATCAGAGAGAGAGCGGAACAAGCACCATTGTTCCCTCTCTGAGCCAGCCCCCACATAAGCGTCACAACCCCATGACTGGGTTGCCCCACACTGGTGTACACCTAAGGCTCCACCCCTCATACATAACAGGCATGACCCGACCAAAAAATTATGGCTCAAACATAAGAACAAATCAAAGCCCCAGAGCCAATACTTTTAAGCGACCAAGAGATAGCCAACCTACCAGATACACAGTTCAAAACACTAATGATCAGGATGCTCACTGAAGTGGTTGATTTTGGTCCCAAATTAGATGAAAAAATGAAATCTACACTAAGTGAAATAAAGGAAAATGCACAGGGAACCACTAGTGATGGAAAGAAAACTGGGATTCTAATCAATGGAGTGGACCAGAAGGAAGAAAGAAACATTCAATCAGAAAAGAATGAAGAAACAAGAATTCAGAAAATGAGGAAAGGTTTAGGAACCTCCATGACATCTTTAAATGTTCCAACATCCAAATCATAAAGATGCCAGAAGGAGAAGAGGAAGAGTAAGAAATGGAAGACTTATTTGAACGAATAATGAAGGAGAACTTCCCCATTCTGACAAAGGAAATAAACTTCCAGGAAGTCCAGGAAGCTCAGAGAGTCCCAAAGGTGGACCCAAAGAGGAACACACCAAGGCACATCATAATTACAACACCCAAGATTAAAAATAAGGAGAGAATCCTAGAAGCAGCAAGAGATAAGGAGGCAGTTACCTACAAAGGAGTTCCCATCAGACTGTCAGCTGATTTCTCAAAAGAGACTTTATAGGCAAGAAGGGGCTGGAAAGAAGAGTTCCAAGTCATGAAAGGCAAAAACCTACATCCAAGATTGCTCTATCCAGCAAAGCTTTCATCTAGAATGGAAGGACAGATAAAGTGCTTCTCAGATAAGGTCAAGTTCAAGGAGTTCATCATCACCAAGGCCTTATTATATGAAATGTTAAAGGGACTTATCTAAGAAAAAGAAGATAAAAAACATGTACAGTAAAATGACAGCAAACTTACAATTATTAACAACCACACCAAAACAAAAACAAAAGCAAACTAAGCAAACAGCTAGAACAGGAACAGAATCACGGAAATGGAGATCACATGGAGGGCTATCAGTGAGGGAGTGGGGAGGGGGGGAAGTACAGAGAACAAAATATTTTTTTAAAACCCTGCCTGATGATAAGAGATGTAAAACACTCTAGAAGCAAAGACACAGTATAAATACTAAATGTATAGGAAAAAGTCCATATTTCTGATTCCTTCTATTTATCTCTCTCCTTCCTCCTCCTTCCTTTGTTTCCAGATCAGGCAACACAAGAACCAGCTCCTGTGCTGCTAGTGACCAGCAGTACTAGTCTGCCCTTGTCTCAAAGAAGGGGTCATAGTTCAGCCCACTGCTGAGTTGGCTGGGCAGGAGCAGGCAGCAGGTACTAGGCAGCTTTAATGGACTCAGCCCAGGCTTGGGTCTGGAGAAGCAAATAGTCCCTGTCTTTAGGAAGCACTGGGGTGAGAGAGATGAGGTCCTTGGATGTAGGGGACCGGTTTGTCTTGGCCTGGCAAATGTGACTCAGCTCTGTATGGAAAACCTACAGAAGCAAAGTGGTGGGCAGGAGCCAGACCTTCAAACTGGGTTTTCCCGTGGGAATCAGGCCTAGAAAATGCCTACAGATTGTTATGGCTTGCTCTTGCTAAAACTCCCTCACCCTGGTCTAAAGCAACAAATGTGTATTGTCTATCTTTAAGATAATTTCCAAAGCCTATGTGAGCTCTCCCAAGGACAGAGCTAGCCAGCTCATTGTCATCCCCCTCTGCATGTTATTTTTATTTCCTTGATTATACCTAGAATGTAGACAAATAATATTCCATGTGATAGATAATAAGTCTTTCTTTAATGTAAATAAGACCCAAGGAAAACAATAAAAGCCTGTCTAGGCAAGGGTTGGAGCACTCCCCTCTTGAGGGAGTGGCTGAGGCACCCATAGGTACTCACCCCTTGAGAGATTAGTCATGCCTGTTCCCTTTTTCCACACAGGATTGTTGTCGCCTGTGCATTGATTCTCACTGTAAGCCACAACAGGCAGACTCTGCTGGACAGGGTCTGCTACACTTAGAGACACAGCAACTATTACAAACAAGTGACCAGAGCTGGCTGTGAAACTGGGAAGGAACTCAAACAGAGAATGTTGGCAAGATGGGGGACTATCCAAGAAGGGTTCCCCAAAGAGGGGATGATGAGCAAATTTAAAAAGAAATGGAGACTTGGAGAACTCATTCATTTATTCATCCAGTTCTTCCACAAATAAGTATAGCACCTACTGGATTCCAGACAATACAGAAGGACTGGGGACACAGAGATGAGTAAAACCGGACCACCTCACAATGTAGTGGAGGCATACATGTCTAGAAACAAGTCCTGAATAAGGGCTACATCCATGTGTGGACAAGTCAGTGTGTGAGCAGACAGAAGGGGTGGGGGAATTGACCCAGGTCCTGTGTGAGGCTCAGGGTTGCTGCCCAGACTGCAAGGAAGGCGTGAAGGCAGAGGGGTGCATACAAAGAAGCAAGAAGTCAACCAAGGTCTAGCCATTGTGTCACTGGCCTGAGGAGGTGGGCAACCAGGGGAAAGGAAGAAGAGGAGAAGGGAAGGCTGGGCCCAGACTCAGGGCTGGCATGCCTCTACAGTGATTGAGGGCCACTGGAGGATGATAAGAGGAGACAGAAGTTGGCAGGGAGTGGACATGAGGCATTGAGCCAGGATAGAGAGTGAGAACAGGGGAGGTCCAGGGGCCAGGTGGGTGGTGAGTGCAGTCTCAGAAGGAGCTGGTACCTCCTCTCTGTTTGAAGTGGGGCCAGGTACTGATGATGTCATACAAAGCCTTCCCAGGGGACAGAACGTTGACAATATCACTGTGCCCCACCAACAGGTAGTTGGGAGTCAGGTACCCCTTGTCCACTGCACACTGGATCAGACTCTGGGCTGCCTCCAATGCTGCGGCATTTGGTGGCTTTTCTGAAAAACACATATACATGTCAGTCATCAGAGTCTCAAGGTTACTTGCTCAGAGTAGGGCCAAGCACCTGCATTCCAATCTCCCTCTCCCACACCCCTATCACCATAACCAACAAATTCACATAATCTGTGGCAGCCCGACACAATGAGAAAACAAAGTCATTGTGTTCCCTGACTCCTCTTTGCAAAGCTTCTTCTGGAAAGTTCAAAATTGCTCTGGACGATAACTGCATCATAGCACACAGCTTCTCAGCAGGCACCAGGAGGCAGACATGGCACCACTGGACTGTCAATGCTTTACCGTAACAGATAGTGATGGTCCTCAACATTGTTGCCATGGTTACCAAGGAAGAAAATGCCTTTGCTGACTGAGCCACAAAAGCACCAAAGTTTGCAAAAGATTATATTCTCTCTTGCTCTACATTTGCCTTTGGCATGGCCATAAAGATAGATGGAACTGGGTAAGCAGATGGGTAAATCTGGGGGAAATCTTTCTGCCTGGGAGGAACTTCTGGTGACCGCATCCTATATTGAGTCCCTGAAAGCTAAAATGCACCACTGACACTGCCAGACATCACAAGTTTGCCTTGTCCTTCATGCTCCCCAGACATTCCACATGAAGCTTCACCACCCAGAACCCCTCTGCCCTGGGCTCACTCCTTACCTACAAAGTTGCCCATGAAGGCAATTCCCAGGGCAATATCATTGTATCCATAGGTATGAGAGCCTTGGATATGCCAGCCAACTCCTTCATACACACCACCATCCTGACCCACCAGGAAGCTAGGATTGGGCAAAGAAAAATGCAGGGAGTCACTCTGGGAAGAATTGGCTTCATTCACTCCTAAATCATTCATTCATTCTTTCATTCATTTGTCATACATTGACTGATGTCTGCTATGTGCCAATGTGCACAAAGACAAAAAAGATAAACAAAAAAAGCAATCACAGTCTCTGAATGAAAGCAGTGAGCTCAGAGTGACAAGCCATGATAACAGCAGCTTCAGTTCACTGCAACGTGGCCTTTCCCACAATGCCCCTGAATAGGGGCATTCCAAGGTGACCAGTGACTGCCTTGACATTAGTACATTTTCTCTTCTGAATTACACTGGCCCTGCTGACCCCTCTTTTCTTAAAATGTTAAGTTTCCTGGGCTTCCAGGAGCCACACCTTCCTGATTTTCCTCCACTATGCTGGTTTCTTGCAGGTCCCTCTCCCATTCCCTACCCCTTCCCTAGAAAGTGGTGCTCCTCAGGATTCCAGTCTAGCCCCTTCTCTCATCTCACTCAGCATGTTTTTCCTACACAATCACCCAGTCCCATAGCTTCAATTACTCTCTATAAAAACCAACATGTCCAAACCACTCAGCTTCTCCTGTGATTTCCTCAGCCAGAAAATTAGGCATCACCTGAATGCCTCCCCCTCCCTCCCCCAGCCCCATCCAATCATGAGTCAGGGCTTGTCAATTGTCTCTCTTGTCTCCATGCCAGCTGTTGCTACTATGATGCTCCAGGTCACCACCACCTTTTGTCTGGATTTCTGCAATAATTCCCTGCCCAGAGTTTTGCCCACTTCCATCCCATTCCTAAAATAGCACCTGGAATGACTGTTAAATCTGAATCCTATCATAGGGCATGACTTTCTAGTTGCTTTCAAATTGAATCTGTAAGAACCCACTTCAGGGCCCTTTGTGATGTGCCTCCTGTTGGCCTCTCCAGTCTCACCTCTCACCATTTTTCTCTAATATCTACTTTTACATATGAGTTAAAGTTCTTCAGTTCCTCAAAGATATGTGCTCTGTCTAGACCCCAGGCCTTAGCATATGCTGCTGTCCTCACCTGGATATTTCTTGCCCCTCTTTGCCTGAATAAACCCCACTCCTTATCCATGCCCCAACTTAGATGCCCCTTTACCTGGAGCCCTGCCTGACACACTCACTCCCGCAAAAGCTTGCTAATGATTCATCCTGTGCCTATCCTATTCCTCATCCATTAGAGTGCCTCACTCTTACTTGTCCTTATGAAGTTTGCTATCTTCTCTCTCACCTCCACAGGGGAAGGAACCATATTCATCTTGCTGAGCACTGGGCATGGAGCAGACACCCAATGAATACTGGTTAAAATGTTAGAAAACAGTGAGTGAGGGGGTGTTTTGTCTTGATTACAGTCAACATCAGGATTAGAGATGCATCATGAGGCTGGAGGATGAGGGGGGCACCATAACAGGTTTTGAAAGTCAAGGAACAGGATGGAGCCCCTGAAAGCTGAACAAGAAAGGAAAACTAATATCCCTTAGCTTCTGGCATTTTCCATTCAGGGTTTTCAAATTTATAGTCCATACCCTGTTATCTGTGCTGAAGAACCATAGTAAGACTGTGGAAGGTCCTGCAAAGGGCAGTAGCAGCTTCTTCTATTTGTACAGGCTGCTTTTACAGTGGGAGTTAAGAGGAGAGGCAGCCAGCCCAGAACAAGTCACATGCCAAAGTAAATCCACCTGAGACTTTGCAAAAGCTGTTGTGATTCAGTCACAGATGAATGATTGCAATTTATCCTCCTCTAACACTGCATCCATTCTATGAAATTTCAAGGCAACTTCAATTTAGCTTCTGGTATTCCATTAACTCAATGTGTTTCTTTATGATAGACCTGGTATTAAAAGGACCAAAAAAGAACATTCAAATTTCACTCTTCATCTTCAAGTATTGTCATTCCAGTTGTAACTAACATCAGAGGGAGCAAGTTCAGGTTGGGCCAAACTGAGGAAGAGGGTGAGCAGGGCCTGTGTCTCTGAGTGGTTGGAAGGGATTAAATAAAATAGGCACAATCTTCAGTGGTCTTCCATAAGACCACTTACATAAGGGTCTCACAGTCTTGCTTTACCACTATTGCTTCTAATGTCTCCTTTTCAGATTCTTCCCTTGAAGAGAAAGTGCCCAGGAGAGAATCTAACCCTTAGCTATGTCTGAATGATAGTCCAGAATCTTACACAAATAAAATGTCATGTCTTATGTAAAGCCCTTGGCACAAAGAAGAGGCTCAGTAAATATTGGTTCCCTCCCACAGCCCTCCTTCCTATAGCCTTGAAGAGAAGGAGGGTAAAATTTCCACCAGTCTCACTTACTGATATCCAATGTCACAGAAGTTCAGTTTGTCCATGTGGTAGGACTGTGTGTCTCGGACACGAGCCTGACAGTCCATGGATGTGCTGCAGGTTGCCCCAGCAGTGTGGATGATGATGACATATTTGGCTGGGATGTTCATTTTAGGGCAGTATGTCTCTCTGGCTTCCCAAGTTGACCGCGTGATGATGCTGGGGCAAGCTGTGGCAAGGTGAAAAACCAAGGCCATGGGGATGCATCTGTGCCCACCAATGGATAATCACACCACTGCAGGATGACCTACTCCTCAATCACCCCAACCTCTGGCACCATGGGCACATCCTAACATGAACTCAGCTGTGGGGCTCTAGGAGAGGCCAGATAGGGAATGTCTGTGTCAGGTGGCTACAGTCAGTGGACGGGGCAAAAATCTACAGGTTCTGATTACAACTATGGAAACCAGTGTGTGAGCAGAAGTGAAAGAACTATTGATCACACAGAGTTGGCCATTCCCTTCAAAAGACCTAGTGTACCTACCTGCCTGAATATGCATTTCAAATATATGCAGGTGTGTGTACTTATGTAAGAGGACCAAAATGCAGAAATCAGTTGACTCTCTAAACTGATCACATGCACACATGGAAGTAATTTGAAATCTATAAAGAAATCTATAAATGTGAAAAGATTATCATTTATTGAAGATAGCACCTGTCGGAAAGCAATAAAAACTTTAGAGATTTACAATATTTAAAAGGTTAATACAAAATATTCCTGAGTCCAAGAAAAGTTCCACTCTAGCAGAAAGCATTAAGCTACTGAAAGTGTTCATTAATTGTACTGGTTTTAGGTTGCTGCTTGCTCACCCCAAAACAGGGCATGATTTTCATCATCCAGTTTCTTGAAATATTCACTCTGATGTCAGAGTAGTCTGTGAAGGCTAGTTTTTTTCACCGCTCTGGTCATGTTGCAGGTTGGCTGAGTTTTGCATTTAGAAAGGTTGTGTGTGTGTGCTCACATAATATACACAAGTTTGTGTGTGTGTTTACTTCCCCATTACCATGCTTTATTTTTCTCTAAGACTTCCTGCCATCTGACATCACATGTATTTTACTTGTTGATTTCTTTATTTTCTGTCTTTCTTCACAGAAAAATGAAGTTTTTTTCTGTTTTGTTCATGGTTGTAGCCTTAGTACCTAGAAAAGCACTTAGTATTTGGTAAATATCAGTTGATGAAGTGGAAAATGTGTGTACATACATATTTATGTCAAAAGTGGCTCCATGGCTATGTCATTCCAGTGGGAAGGAGAGATCAGGAAAGTGCTCTCTCAGAATTTTCTGGATCTCAGTGTGAGGTGTCCTCAATCCAAGAAACTGTCCCTAATTGTTGAGTGTCATTGGGAGGAGGGTGAGCTGGGACTGAGGATCTTACCTTTCCTGGGCACTGGCTGCTTATGGGCTGGGCACACCTCTTCTTCCAAGAGAAGTGGCTGAATATACCTGGGTGACAGATGACCTTTCCGAATGGCATAGAAGATCAGGTCCTCTGCAGCTGATAAGGCAGCTGGGCTGGGATTTCTGCCTGAGAGAAGATGACATGGAATACCAAACTGTCAGCAAGAAACTTCAACCCAGTCTAGACCTGGAGGGAGGATAAGATGACCACCTGAGCCTGACTAGCTGATGAATAGGAAGAAAGGAAGCTGGTCCAGTAGCCAGGACAGGGAGCCTAAGAGTCAAGGAACTACTTGAACAGAACTCTTGGAGACCAAGTTGGTGACCTCTCTCAAGTGCTAAGACTTTTACCCACTACATCTCTAGGTGAAAGAGCTGGGAGGCAATAAAAGCTACATGCAAAGGGAGGCTCACAAGACCAAAACAGGCACTCCCTAGCATGGAGAAAGGGGTGACAATACTTACTTAGTAGCTCCCACAATCCAGCATGGGGCAAGTGCTCTTTTCATCCATTAACTCATATAATTCTCAAATAAAACCTCTAAGATAAGTGTTGCTCCTAGCCCCAGTTAGCAGATGAAGATCTGGCAGGTACCAGTCACTTAGCTATTAGCCCTTGACTCCATCCTGCCCTGTGCTCACCTGTTTTGCCAGGAGCTAAAAACCTATAAAGGACATTCCTCAGACTTCCTTGACTGCTGGCTTTGGTTGGGTCCTCCCCATGGGAGATGCTGGAGGAAGAGAGAGGCCATATTTGTCTGCCTTTGTCAGGTGCAGGCTCAGTGTCACACAACTTCAGACTCCAGAAGTGATGGCAAAACTGTGAGCTCAAGAGGTGTCAGTCTCACTGGAGCACAGACCAGAGAAGAGGAAGAAGACAAAAAGGATACCATGTCATAGAATCCAAGCAAGGAAAGAACTTTAAGACAGTATGAGATAGGCTGAGAAGAGAGGAGTGTGGGCAGCATCTGAGATCTTGCTTCCCAAGCCTACATGGTCAGTTTGACTTAAACAAATTCTATAAAAAATTCAAAAGAAGAAAAAGAAAAGACAGGGGTGTGGATATGAGGGAGTGAAGGAAGAAAGTATAGACAACTCTCTGGCAGGGGGACAGAGGGGATGACCATTACCTTCCTTGGTGCCAAAGAAGGCGAGGCCCAGTGAGATGCTGTTGTAGCCCTGGGTGTGCAGACCTTGGACGTTCCAGCCAACACCTTCATATACCCTGCCATCGTCCCCAACCAGGAAGCTGCCAGGCAAGGAAACGTGGATTGAACGGCAAATGCCTATGACAGGAAACCTCTCACCCATCCTCAGAAGGGAGCGGGTTCTAGAGGCTCATAAAAAGCAATAAATTCAGTGCCCTAACAGTAGGAGACAGGGGGATCACCCAGCTTAGACTTCCCAGACTTCTTTAAATGTTGTTGTGACTTCATTTACATGTGTTTCCTAGAACCTTCCTTTAAAAATAATCATTTGATTTGAAGTGGGATTTGAACCTGAGGACATTAGTTTAACATATTTCAAGGGCATGAAAATGCATTCATCAAGTTTTTAATTATAGAATCAAGCACTTGACATTTAAAACAGCTACGATTCAGGAATTCCTTTTTATTATATGACTTTTTCTTCAGTTTCTCTTCAGGAGTGCCTGTAACTCTTATCACAGAAACTTCTTTAGAATCTTCCCTTTTTCAATTTATTCTTTTAATATATTTTATTGATTATGCTATTACAGTTGTCCCATTTTCTCCGCTTCACTCCCCTCCAACCTGCACATACCCTCCCACCCATGTCCATGGGTCATACTTATAAGTTCTTTGGCTTCTCCATTTCCTATACTATTCTTACCTTTCCCCTGTCTATTTTCTACCCACTATCTATGCTACTTATTCTCTGTACCTTTTCCTCCCTCTCTCCCTCTCCCACTCCTCTGTTGCTAACCCTCTGTGTGATCTCCATTTCTGTGATTCTGTTCCTGTTCTAGCTGTTTGCTTAGTTTGCTTTTGTTTTTGTTTTGGTGTGGTTGTTAATAACTGTGAATTTGCTGTCATTTTACTGGTCATATTTTTTATCTTCTTTTTCTTAGGTAAATCCCTTTAACATTTTATATAATAAGGGCTTGGTGATGATGAACTCTTTTAACTTGATCTTATCTGAGAAGCACTTTATCTGCCCTTCCATTCTAGATGAAAGCTTTGCTGGATAGAGCAATCTTGGATGTAGGTCCTCACCTTTCATGACTTGGAATACTTCTTTCCAGCCCCTTCTTGCCTATAAAGTCTCTTTTGAGAAATCAGCTGACAGTCTGATGGGAACTCCTTTGTAGGTAACTGCCTCCTTATCTCTTGCTGCTTCTAGGATTCTCTCCTTATTTTTAATCTTGGGTGTTGTAATTATGATGTGCCTTGGTGTGTTCCTCTTTGGGTCCACCTTTGGGACTCTCTGAGCTTCCTGGATTTCCTAGAAGTCTATTTCCTTTGCCAGAATGGGGGAGTTCTCCTTCATTATTTTTTCAAATAAGTTTTTCATTTCTTGCTCTTCCTCTTTTCCTTCTGGTACCACTATAATTTGGATGTTGGAATGTTTAAAGATGTCCTGGAGGTTCCTAAGCCTCTCATTATTTTTCTGAATTCTTGTTTCTTCATTCTTTTCTGGTTGGATGTTTCTTTCTTCCTTCTGGTCCACACCATTGATTAGAGTCCCAGTTTCCTTCCCATCACTATTTCCTGTACATTTTTCTTTATTTCACTTAGCATAGTCTTCATTTTTTCATCTAATTTGTGACCAAATTCAACCAATTTTTTGAGCATCCTGATTACCAGTGTTTTGAACTGTGCATCTGATAGGCTGGCTACCTCTTTGTTGTTTAGTTGTATTTTTTCTGGAGCTTTGATCTGTTCTTTCATTTGGGCTATTTTGTCTTGATGCACCTGTTGTGTAGTAAGAGGTGGAGCCTTAGGTATTCACAGGACGAGGTAACCCAGGTATATGGGGAAGGGGTCTGAGAGGGAGCAATGGTGCTTGCTCTGATCTCTGCTAGATTTCAGTCACTTCCCCCACTACCTATAAGCAAATTGGGCCCTTCTGGCACTGATTCCTGGGTGAGCTTGTATATGTTCTAGGACCCTGTGGGTCTCTCCAATGAACTTTTCTGTGAGGCTGGGAGTTCCTCCTGCTGCCACCTCAACCCCCACAGGTGTTTTCAGTCAGAGGTTTGAGGCTTTATTTCCCCGCACTGGAGCCCTGGGTTACTCGGTTTGTTTCCCTCTTCAGTTGTTTCTCCCAGTTTACCTGCATGGGAACGTGGAACCACCCACTCCACAATCCACTGCCTTGCTGGATCTGCCAGCTGCTGCCTTGCCGCAAGTCCTCTCCACCCTGGCTGCCCATTTCCACCCCTCTTACCAGTCTGGATGAATGTTTCTTTAACTCCTTGGTTGTCAGGCTTCCATACAGTTTGATTTTCTGTCATTTATGATTGTTTTTGTTATTGTTATTTTTAAATTGTTGTCCTTCTTTTGGTTGTTCGAGGAGGTACAGTGTATTTACCTATGCCTCCATCTTGGCCAGAAGTCTCCTTTTCCACTTTATTTTTAAAAACAAATGTATTATTCTTTTGTTCTACCTGCACCCTTCTCTTTGCTTCTTTAAATCTTTCTCATCCTCCACTTTCTAACCACAGACTTCAGAATTCATGTCGTCACAACTCTTGCCATATTCAGCTTCCACAGAAAGCTGAACACAGAAAGAATATTCCCTGGAAGTCCTCCAAAGACCCTGAGTGGAGATGGGCCCACTTCGTGCCCTGCGCTAACATCAGCCTGAGGCTCAGGGAGCCTCGGCATGTCCAGCACACCGCTGGCTTTGCTGACAGCACATTCAACATGTTCCAGTGTCACAGTGATTGGCCCACTGTGAACAGTCCCTCAGGGATGCTGTCAGCTGCACTGTACCCACAGGAGGCTGTTAAATTGTCACCACAAAGCCTGACTTAGAGACTCAACGGCTGAAATCCCCTGGAAATGCTCTGGCAGAAGAGGGAACACAGCAGTGACAGCAGTGGTAGTGGCAGTTCTTGTGGTAGGGACAGCAGCTGAGCTATAGTGAACACAGCTTCCCCAGAAAAAGGATGAAGACCCTGCTACCACCCCCAGCCCCAGGGAATCTGGGGCTACAACGGGACCTCCAACTGCTCTTACTTATTTACATGTAAAAATAAATTAATAACATGGGTTACACTTTCCAAATGGGTAATTCAGAAAGCATTTCTATTTGTCTTTAGAATTCAGAGAGGAAAGCTCTATTCCCACAGTGTCTCCCTCCTTATGAAGATAGATAGATAGATAGATAGATAGATAGATAGATAGATAGATAGATAGATCTTCATATATACAGAAAATCAAGGAAATCTTGGCCTCCTTTGATAATCTTCAGCATGGATACCCAGTCTCCATGCCTTACACTTGTCTTAACACGGGGCTGCCCTTGCTCCATCCCCAAAGCCATGCCTCCTATGGAACCCCAGTGTCGCTGTGAGGTGGCCTCTCAGGGTACCTTGTGGGGACTGCTTCTCAGCGTACCTGTCTGTGTGTGAAAGTGGAGCAGGCAGTCTGGGAAGCATTCTGGGTCCATACTCCCCAGTGGTGTGACTTTCTCTAACCTCCCCAAACTACGGTGTACTTAACACCTGAGAAGCAGGGCTGGTAATGTTTCTCCTGCCTGTTCCTCAGAGCTGCTGGGAGGGCCCACATGGGTAATATTTGTGAAGACCTTCTAAACCATGATGTCCTGCGAGCTGCAAGAGGGCAGCTGTGGGGACAGCATGAGGCCCCTTGCTTCCTTCCCAGATCTCCTAGAGTCCTAGACCACATCTGAACAAGCGGCTCAGGGCCTCCCTCCTAATGATCCTGGGAGGATTTGGGATGTTGTATGTTTACTTTAGCACTTTGTAGTTATTTTTTTTATTAAATTTTATTTAGTTACTTTGTAGTTATTTTTAAAAGCAGAATGAATGAGAAAACAGAGGACAAATGGAAGGCTCTTACTTGTAGGCCACATCGCACCAGCCTTTGGTGTAGATGGAACGGGACTGAAGGTCCCGCAGCTTCTGGCTACAAACATTCTGCTCCTGGCACTCCATCCCCATGAGCTGGTCCGAGATGACATAGGCCACAGGTGGGGTCAGCAGGGCCCTGCAGGTCAGGGATTGTGCCCCCCACTCCTTGCGGGAGACAATGGTGGGGGTACCTGCAGGGGGTGGGAAGGATGGCACATGGCAGCTCCTACTCAATTCCCCTGACAGGCTGCCAGCACCACCCTTGTCCTCTCCTGCCCTGATGGGGGGACAGGCCCTGGGGGAGGCATTCGCCACCCACAGCCTGCCCTTCACATTCTCTATAGGCTGTTTAGGCTAAAAAAATTTCCCCATTGGACTCTGTGTTCAGCCTGGAAGTCAAGTTGCCTTCTTCTCCAAACACTGGCTTCTTGTACTTCCCTAGAAGACATCCCATCCTCAACTCCTCTTAGGCCGGCTTCTCCCTCGAGGCCTTCAGGAAATAGCCCAGGGACACTCACACCCAACCCTCGGGCCAAGCTACCTCCTCTTGAAGCACCTCACCTGGATACCTTAGGAAGCACTGTCCTCATTAGCAAATGTCCCATTGTGGCATTTGCCACAATTAGAGAATTGTGTCTTTTGTCTGGCCCTCCCCTCACAAAGGTGACTCTCAGGAAGTTCTGCCACTCTTCTCAAACTAGAGACTCCCAGATCCAGAGCCCACAGGAAGTTCCATAAGCATCAGGTACATATTTCTCTCTTTCAGATGAAAAGTCACTGTGGGCAGGGCTGTGAGAGCCCTAAGGGCCCCAGTTCCCCTAAGGCTCCATGTCTGTGTCCATCTTGGGGCCTCTGGAAGCTCACTCAAGGACAGGATGTCTCCACCCTCCTACTGAGACCTGGAATTAGGGGCTTTGTCTTTCCTCCCCAGGGCCTCTCTCCTTTCTGCACCTCACCTTTGCCTGAGGGCTCCAGACGATCCTTGGCACTCTCTGGCAAATGCCCCTCTTGGGATCCCACCCACCCCCACCCCACTGCAGTGAAGTCCTGAGAAGCATTCTGGCCACCTAAGCAGCCCCAGCCACCTCACCATTGCGACCCTTTTGAATGAACTGTGAGATGCCAACAAACAGGTCCACAAGCTGCTCCGACACTTCTTTGGCTTGGGTTTCATTCCAGGAGAACCAAGGGGAATCCCCTACAAAGGAACATTGCACTTGGTGCTGGTCCTTACAGAATACCTGGACTGTCACAGAGGCGTGGGCTCCACATCCCTGCCCCACAGCCCACAGCCTCTCTGCCTGTCCAAGTTCCCTGGCTTCCTCTAGAAAGCAAGGCAGAGATGTTTCTTTCTGGCCTCCCCCTCCCCCTGCCTCTCACCCTCATGTTCCCATCTTCCCACAACCCTCCCTCCATTTCAGGTCCTCTGCAGTCTCTCTGTCCCTTATCTGAACAGCCCAGACTTTCCCACTTCACCTGCTTACCTATTAATAAGTCAGAATGTCCCATGCCAAAATGTCATCATCATTTTGAGCTAACTCACAAACATATATTAAACACCTACTTATCCAGATAAGCTTCTTAAAATATAGAAGTTTTCCAACTGTTGTGACTGCTCTTACAAACTAGATTTTTTAGATAGGATTAATTGAGGATTAGTCATTACAAACATGTCTCATCCCCCTCTGCCTGTCCAGCACCTGAGGTCATGGGAGCAATAACCCCTACAAGCAGCAATGTCACCAGTATCGCCACCCACAGGCCATGCTTTGTAGGTTACAAAGCATTTTCAAGAACACTATCAGATTTGTGGCTTAAAACAACCGTATAAGATGAGCAAAGCAAATCAACTACTCCCTCTACACAGATGAGAAACTAAGGATCAGAGAGGTTAAGTTACTTGACTAAGATGACACAGGCCTTAAGCTGTGGACTTGGATCCTGACCCAAGCTTTCTGGCCCCAGAGCAATGTTCATAACTACTAACCCTCTCCAGCTTCCCCAAAGTTGTCAGATGACCTTGGACAACTGACCTTGTCACTGCCACAGTGTGGCCTATTTCTCTGGCTATAAGACAAAGTCAGGAAGGGTCTCCACCAAGGCTGAGATTCTGCACTTTTGTAAAGTCATCAGGAACACATGCATGACCATGACACTGAGGACAAGGTGTGCTTGGCAAACTGGAGAGACTGAGGACTAGAGCCATCTCAGCAGGGAGGAGGGGCCAGAGCTGGGCTCAGAAGGGAAAACATCACCTCACCTCAGCACGGGCCACCTCACAGTGACACTGGGGTTCCATAGGAGGCGTGGCACTGGGGATGGAGGGAGGACAGCCCTGAGTTAAGACTCGGTGGGGAGGAGTGATGAGTCTGGAGAGGACAATCTGAAAGTGAAACCAGGTTGGGGCTGATGCCGAAAGTACTTTTGACACAATGAAAGAAAACTTACCCCAGGCACCAAGACCCAGAGCTAAAAAGAAAAGAAGCCACAGCAGCATCCTCATGTGGTCCCAGGACACAAATTAGAAGAATGTGGACCACAGCCCTGAAAGAGATACAGACAGTTAATCCAGCAGTGCTCACTTTTCCAACAGGGTACAACCTCGCATGGTGTCCTGTCTGCCTCCCGTCCAAACTGTGGGCCTCCTCAAGGCCAGCACCTGGCCAGGCTTCTCATCATTCCCAACACAGGGCCTGACTCTCAGCAGGTGCTTGGTAAAGGTGGTATCAACACCTCCATCTAGCCACCACCCTTGCCCACCTCCTATGACCCTGGGAGCTCCTAGTCCCTCAGATGAGCCCAGTGCCTCATCTGAAGCCTTCCAGTACAGATAAGAACAATTTCTAAAATCCCTTAGTAGCTGTTATGAATAAACCCTGTGTAGATAATTTCACATATGTGCTATAAGTTTATATTTAATCCTTTAAAAGTTCCTATATTATGAACCCCACCTTTTTAAAGTGTTTTAAATTATATTTTATTGACTATGCTATTACAGTTGTCCTGATTTTTCCCCCTTTGTCCCCCTCCACCGAGCACATATACCACTCCCTCAGGCAATGCCCCCACTATTGTTTAGGTCCATGGATCATGTATATAATTTCCTTGGCTACCCCATTTCCTGTACTTCACATCCCCATGGCTATTCTGTAACTACCTATTGGTACTTCTTAATCTCCTCACCTCTTCACCCATTCCCCCATACCCACCTCCCATCTGGCAACCATCAATATACTTTCTGTATCCGTGATTCTTTCTCTGTTCTTCCTGTTTGCTTAGTTTGTTTTTCAGGTTCAATTGATGGTAGATATGTATTTATTGCTATTTTATTGTTCATAGTTTTTATCTTCTTTTTCTTAAATAAGTCCCTTTAACATTTCATATAATAATGGTTTGGTGATGATGAACTCCTTTAGTCTTTTTTTTTTTGTCTGGGAAGCTCTTTATCTGCCCTTTGATTCTAAATAATAACTTTTCTGGATAGAGCACTCTTGACTGTAGTTCCCTGCTTTTCATGACTTTGAATATTTCTTGCCAATCCCTTCTAGCCTGCAAAGTTTCTTTTGAGAAATCAGCCGACAGACAGTCTTATGGGAATTCCCTGTAGGTAACTGTTTTTTTGTGGGTTTTTTTTTTTTTTTGCTTGCTGCTTTTAAGGTTTTTTTCTTTATCTTTAACCTTTGGCATTTTGATTATGATGTGGCTTGGAGTGGGTCTCTTTGCATCCATCTTGTCTGGGACTCTCTGTGCTTCCTGGACTTGCATGTTTATTTCCTTCACCAAATAAGGGAAATTTTTTCACTATTTTTTCTAATAGATTTCCAGTTTCTTGCTCTTTCTCTTCTCCTTATGGCACCCCTATGATGAGAATGTTGGAATACTTGAAGCTGTCCCGGAGGCTGCTTACATCATCCTTGTTTTGGAGAGTTCTTTTTTCTTCTTGTTGTTCTGATTGGTTCTTTTTTGCTTTCTTATGTTCCCAATCATTAATTTGATTCTCAGCTTCATCCACTCTACTGTTCTTTATTTCAACTCTGTTTCTGACTCTATCTCTTTTATGCTGTTGAGGTTCTTACCGAGTTCCTTGAGCATTCTTATAACCAGTGTTTTGAACTTTGCATCTGATAGATTGCTTATCTCCATTTTGTTATTCTTTTTCTGGAGTTTTGATTTGTTCTCTCACTTGGGTCATGTTTCTTTGCCTCCTCATTTTGGCAGCCTCCCTGTGTTTGTTTCTATGTATTAGGTAGAGCTGCTATGAACCCCTGTCTTGGTAACATGGTCTAATGTAGTAGGTATCCTATAGGGTCCAGTGGCACAGCCTCTCCTATCACTCAAGCTGGGTACTTCAGGTACACTCTCTGTGTTGGCTGAGTACACTTTCCTCTTGTAATGCAAGGACGGACTGTGACCACTAACCACCAACCTCTGCCCTCCGTGGCAAATCAGCTGTGCAGGAGCAGGGTGGTGGTGCTCTGACATGGTCTGTAGCTGTCCACTGGGTGCACAGGCTCTGGGAAACCCCAGGTGGTGCAGGCCAAGGTCAGCCTCCACCTGTGTCCTGCCCAGAGCCACCCTGCCTGAGTTATAAAGCAATCTGAGATGGCTGCTACTTGTGCTGGGCTTGGAGATAACCAGGTGAAACCAAACTATGAAGCTAGGATGACTGCTGCTAGCGCCAGGCCTGGGGCCACTTAGCAAAAAGTATAGTAGCTGGGGGCTTACTGAGACTGGCTGTTGCTTATTTGATAGGATTTAGGAAGTTGTGAAACATGAGCCAAAACCAGCCATTCATATGGAAAAGTCACAGTTAATAGTTCAGGTGGTCCCATTAATTGGGTGGGATGGAGTCTTAGGGATCTCATGTGAGGCAAAGAGGTAGGGTCTCAGATATGGCACCCATCTGCTGGCTCTGTCGGAGAAGGGCTCAGAAAAGGGGACAGTGGCCTCTGCCTACCATTCTTTCTGGGAGAAAGCAATTCCCCCGGCTCCCACGTTGATGCCAGACCTTTGATTTCACTTCCCCCCTGTATGCCACTTGTGCCTTTCAAGCTGCTACCCCGGTGCTGGACTTCAGACAGAGTGAGTCTAAGTTCATGTGTGGCTTCTTTAAGGAGAACTGCTTGGGACTCCAGAAGTTTCTTCCACCAATTTAATCCCTGCTGGGTTTTGCAGCCAGAAGTTTGAGGACTTGTCTTTCTGGCACTAGAATGCTGGTCTGGAGAGTCTGGTGTGCAGCTGGAACTCCTTGCCCCTGAGATATCCCTCCTGAATTTTTATCCAGCATACATGGATGTGGGACCAGCCCTTTCCATGTCTCCACCCCTCCTACCAGTCTGGATGGATGTGGTTTCTTTAATTTCATGGTTTTCAGACTTTATTCAACTACATTTCTGACTGTTCTGAGTGATGGTTGTCCTATATTTTAGTTGTAATCTTTATTAACCCTACTTTTATAAGTGAACACACTGAGGCTCAGAAGAACTAAACTATAAGTAAGGGTAGAACTAGCATCATCCCAAGCTCTATTTGAGAATCAGAGTTGTGTTAGATCATCCAGTTTGGTCCCCTACCCCACAAAAACCCTACCAGATGCTAATAACAGCAACAGTTACCACATCCTATATTATAGGTATTTGCGAAGGACTCCACAGACATTCCATTAAATTTACTCACAGTGCTCTAGGAGGCCCACTCTTACCATCAGGAAACTGGGCCTAAGTTACCCAGTAGGAGCAGAGTAGAACAACACCTAGGTCTATCTGTCTCCATAGTCTCTGCCTGAAACTTCTCTGCAACCTGCTTGGTGCAACCTTCTCTGCAACCTTTCTGGTGGTGGAGTTTCAATGTGGGCCCAAGAGGTTAAACTCCAGGACCTCTACAGTCCTTTCCAGCTGCAGGAATCTTTTCTGCTGTCTGGAAGAAATGAATTCTTACTTGTGCTCAATCAAAAAGAAATACCAGCTCCCTGAGATGTCAATCAAAACATCAACTCTTCTCCCAATTATCCTGTTGAGAAACTACAGGGGGGCATTGAGGTAAAATGGGAGATAATCAACCTCCAGAGTTTTGGGGTTTTTTTTAATAATCAGTGATCCTCATATGGAAAATGTTTAGAACCACTATTTAAGACTTGAGCATGTGGGAGCTTCCTTAAATTAGAACAAGCAATGTCTTGGCAAAAAAAACACCAAATATTCCTTTCATCTGAGAAAACTGTGCACTGAAAAAAAAAATGAGCCCATCACAGATGAGGACAGGCACCTAATAAACATGTGGGACAGTGTTCAGACTCCCTCGTGGGCCAAACAAGAGACAAGGATTAACTTGCCCAACAGGGAAGCCCTGTAGGCTAGCCTCCTGCAAAGCTAACTGGAAACCAACAATCAATTCTGGTCAGCAGGTGATCTGCACCAAGGTCACTTGACCATGGTGCTTCCTCAACCACTAATGTTACCTTGCAAATGTTGTCCTGAGATGTCATATCTTTGGGCTGAAACTGCAAGGCTTGAGCTCGGCTCCTGATCATGCCAGGGTGTCTTCCAACCCCAGTCCCACTCCCACCTCCAATCACAAATGCTGAGCTGACAGGATAGGCTGGAGCTAAGGTTCAGCCACCTTGGCTCACATTCTTACGCATTCTGTATACTTAAATAAAGATGAAATACAAAAGAAGGACACAAGTGAGACATAATACATAAGATTCAGGG